TTGGTTCCTAGTTTTGACTCCCTTGCTACCCTGGGGAGATGAATTTTCTCTATTTCTTTCTAACTTACTTTTTAGCTTGCTTTGTTAAACTCTGGTGTGTCCACGTGACTCTTTACTTTGGTCCCCTCCCCTAACTTGGGGAAGTGAATCTCCTCTCTTTCTCTCTCTAATTTACCTTCTAAATAAGCTATACTTTCTAGCTTTTGTGCAATTCTTTGCATCTTTCGCATGGCACAGGATCACACAACCCCCAGTGCATCTGACCTAACATTTTGGGGACCTTGCAGGGATATCTTGATCCCTAAAAATACCTACATGTCAAAGCTCTATTCTATCTAGTATGCTTATATAGTTTGCCATCCTAGGGAAGTCCAGATATTTTAAAGAATAAAACAGGGCACTTTTAATAGTTATCCCGGGACAACAGGCATTAACTAGAACTCTCTTGAGCTAACCAGGGTGGGCATATGATCATGCTGTGTCACTGTACTGACCTGCATTTTGAAAATTAGCATATTTGTTTCCTTAGATAATACACCTATATTATTAAAATATCAAAATTATCCATAAGAGATATATATGGAAGAGTGCTTCTCCAATACCTAAGCCTATTTGCCCCTTTCTACCCTTTGCTAACCTCCATCCCCACAATGGGAAATAACTTTCATTAGTATTTCCTGAGACCCTCCAGCTTTCCTTCATGCAAAAACAAGCAAGTATAAATAGTCCGATATGCCCCCTGGAGACCTTTTCATATGACTGCATAAGGTACCTCCTTGCTTTGATAAATAGGGCTGTGGTATTCTATTGTTTGTTTAATTTAATTAATTACCTAGTGAAGGACTCTTGGGTTGCTTCTAGTCTTTCACTATGACAAAAAAGCAGAGCTGCAATGAATGACCTTGAGTACATATCGTTTTATATATGTGCATGTACATATCTACGCAATGAATTCCTAGAAATAGAATGACTGGGTCATAGTACAAATAAATGTGTAGTTTCATAGTATTGCTCATTTTTTACTGAAAGTATGCTGTTTTGTACTCCCACAAGCAATTTACAAAAGTGTCTATTTTTTTGCAGACTCCTCAACATAGTGTGTTTTTAAACCTCTGGAACTTGGTTAATCTGAAATGTGGGAGAAGTAGTTGAATATAATTTAAAATTTCATGTATCTTATTATGAGTCAGAATGAGTGTCTCTTCATATGTGTAAGTGTCCCTGTTGTTTTACAAATGCCTATTGTTGGATCTCACACACTTCAAATTAAGCATCTTATTGAAAGGAACTATGTTTTATGTGTCTCTCATTTTCCCTTGTATGAAGTATAAGAAATAGAAAGTGTTTAGTAAAATATTTCATGAATGAATAACATAATCACTGTGATTTCCTCATGCTGTTTTAGTTGTACTTTATATCAGCTTTTCTTTTTTTATGTATAACCTTTTCTAACCTTTGGTTCACATTATTTTGGTAAAACAATATTAGTCATATGTCCATAACATAGAATATTTATGTGCAAATCACATATAAAATTATTTTAAAACAATTATTCACCCATTTCCTCCTAATCAGTTATCAAAACATAGGCTTTCTTCAAATATTACCAATCATATTATGAAATGTTGATAACCTTTTGAAATCCTGCTTTCTTCATTTAACATTGTAACTCTCTTAGTTGTCTCTCTTGCTAAACCATGAGTTTCTTGAAGAAAGCATCAGGACTCATTCCTTTTTTGCTTTGTTTCTAACACAGAATAAATGTTAACTTAGGGCTCTATGGGAAAGGAATATTGTGAGAGAAAATAAACAATTTCTGCTGCTAAGCAAAACCTACACTTGAAGCACTTCAATTTTTATTTTATCACTTCATGCTGCTTTTAATTTACAAATCCTTCTTTCCGCATTATACACAATGCTAAATTTTTATACTTTATTTCTGCATTGATTTTGCTTTGTATATAATTTTCTTATAAATGGTCATTTGTGCCAGTTGATTGTTTTCTGAAGGCAAACACACAGTCATTATAATATACTCTTTTAATGTCAAACTAGCATGTACAGGTGGGAAAGCATGGGAAAATTTTATCTCAGGATATGTCTTATAAAAGCTATAAATAAAACTGCAAACAATTGGGGTGTTTTGATATTTGGGTCTATGAAGAATGCAGTAATTTTGTCAAATGGCAGTTGTAACCATTTATCATTCAGAAGGGTCAGCTGTTTCAGATGAAGTAGAATCTAGGTTTGAGGTAGGAAAACACTGAATGAGAACCTCTCTTGCCTAAGCATCTGAGAATTTTTTATTCGAGGGGAGATTTTCCAATCTTAAGGTTACATTGTTTTCTAAAGTAAAACTCTCAAGACCAAATATCATCATTTCCTGTTGTTTAAACAATATCAGCTTTTTGTAATCCCAGAACTTTGGGGGGGGCAGAGGTGAGAAGATTGCCTGATTCCAGGGCTTCGTGACCAGCCCAGGCAACTTGACAAGATCTTGTTTCTACAATAAATTTAAAAAATTAGATGGGCATTGTGGCATGTGCCTGTGGTTCTAGCTACTTAGAAGGCTGAGGCGGAAGGATTACCTGAGCCCAGCAGGTCAAGGCTGTGGTGGCTCTAAGTGTGCCACTGCACTGCAGCCTGGGAGACAGTGAGACTCCAAATAAAAAAAAAAAAAAATCAGCTTTTGCAGGAAAATTTTCCAGGTTGAACTGAGATAAATGATTTCCCCTAAGTTGATGTAGTTGATGTGCAATTATTTTATGGTTAATGTTCTGATATCCAATTTAATTTTGCTATTATCTTGTTTCTTACCTGTGATTCCTTAATATTAAATCACATTTTCATCTATAAATGATACAAATCTACGAATCTGTTACTCTCCAATGGATTAATGCTTTCAATCTATTATTTATGTGACCACAATAACCATCCAGTACATGCTAACATATAGTGCTCAGTCACGGTCAGAATTGACATCCTAACTACAAAACTTTAATGAAGATGATGCTGATAGTAATGAAAATGAGCGTGATGATGAAAAACTGAACAAGCATTGTATGAACAAGCATTGTGAGGAATAAGGACTGATGCCTCCATCAAGAAATTCATCATGTGGATGTTGGTATTGTAACTTATGATAGCAATTTTGATGGTGTTGGTTTAATAAAATATTAATACTTGAGACATAGCAGGTATTTGACAATGACTGCATCAATGAATAAATGATAGTGTAGATGACGAAGATAGGTAGTGGTGGTGGTAATTGTCATGGAGACAAAGATAGTCAAGGCAGATGTGATAGTACTGATACTCTTTCAAATACCATGATAAGGTTAGTACTTGACAAACTGATGATTTACTCCTCTCTGATCATCTGGGTGATCTTACTAGAATGGAATAGAGATAAAGTTGATCAAGAAATCTCTCTTCAAAGCAATTGTCAGGATGAAACTCACTTCTGGGGTGCTCAAGGTGTCATTCTCTATGTATGCATAGGATATGAAAGTTAGATTGTTTGTCCTCATAAAAGGTTATGTAGGACTTACAAAACACCTAGTGGCTCAGAGGAGGCAATGTCTCTGGGATTCTATAGCCCAACCATGTGGGTTTCAGGATTGAGAAAAGTTATTTGAGACTTGGTGCTGCTCTGCTTCACTTCCTTGTACTCAATTTCCTGCCCCAGAGGAGCCCTTATTGAAAGCTAGGTTCACTTAGCAACTCCTAAGAGCACACTGGAGGAAGCCCCTGAGATGCAGCATTTCCAGGAACATAAAATATAAGGAAAGGCATTGGAGTAAAAAGATGCTGAGGAGGATAATGCAAGTTCTAATGTCATCAAAACATTCAGGTAATGGACAGGGTTTATGCAAAAAAGATGGGGAAGCTGAAGTAGCTGAAGAAGAGAACAAGCAGAGGGCTTTGACTTTTTGGGGTGAATTCTCTTAGGGTGTAGGAGGAAAATTCAAGGGACACAGGTGATAGTAATAATCATTTTCCAATAACTTTTGAGAAAGATAAGTCATGTGGGTTGCAGAAATCTTAAAACGCAGCTATTTAGACCTTTTTTTGTTTTTTAATTCAGAGAAGCGGAAGCTGAGGTTAAAAATGAAGTTGCTCAACCCAGGGTGCATTGCCAGTGAGTGGCAGAACAAGCACACACAGCCAGATCCCTGACTGCAGAGAAGGTTCTTTGTATTATATTATAGGACTTATTGCTTAGGAGTTCTGACCTCATGGTTTCCTCTTTGAGAATTCCAGGCACATCTTTGAGACTCAACTCTTAAAAGGCACAGTGTATCTTCTGGGTGAATTACCTCAGGCATCACTGGACCTGATGTTTTATAGATTGTTCTCAGAGTTTGTGCATTTCTTTCATTTCCATTTATTTTTCTTCTAGTCCTTACCAGAATTGTCTATAAACTCAAGCTTCCTGAGAGAGATCTCAACAGTCACTTTTAGAAGTTGACTTTTCTTCCTTCTCCACAGTCCAATATTGCTGGTTATTTTACCACTGGAAACTATAAGATAGATCACAGTAGGAATTTTCTCTTTCTTGTTATATGGTGGTAGAGTAGGGGATAAATCCAGTTTCCTGAGTCTCTAGAGTCCAATATTATAACACAGACAGGGATTAACCTGGGATCAGGAGCCTTGGTTTCTAGTTCTAGCCCTGTCACCAGTAGACTATGATTTAATTTTAGAGAAGAGGAAGCTGAGGTCAAAAACCAAGTTACTCAACCCAGTGTGCATTGCCAGGGAGTGGCAGAGCAAGTTCCCACAGCCAGATCCCTGACTGCAGAGAAAGTTTTCTTAATTATGCCATAGGACGATAGAAATGGCAAACCATTCCTGTCTGTCAGGCTGCAGCTCCTCTATTGCAAAGTGGGGAATGTTGATCAGATAACATCCAGGTTCCTTTCAAATGCTCAAATTTTCTGAAAAGAGGAAGGAGATTGAAATTGTTCATCTATCTTTGCCCCTTGGTCACAGGAATCATGGATCATGTCAATCACACCTGGACCCAGAGTTTCATCTTTGCTGGTTTCACTGCCACTAGGACCCTACGACCTCTTGCTTTCTTTGGGACCCTGTGCATGTATATCCTCACCCTTGTAGGAAATGTGTTCATCATTGTCTTGGTTCAGGCAGATGCTGGATTGTCCACACCCATGTACTTCTTCATCAGTGTCCTCTCTTTTGTAGAGGTCTGGTATGTCAGCACCACAGTGCCCACCCTGCTGCATACATTGCTCCAGGGACCTTCATCCATTTCGTCGACTATGTGCTTTATCCAGCTGTATGTCTTCCATTCCTTGGGCATGACCGAGTGCTACCTGTTGGGTGTCATGGCACTGGACCGCTACCTTGCCGTCTGCCGCCCACTCCACTACCATGTACTTATGAACAGACATGTACAGTTATGGCTAGCTGGGGCCACTTGGGCTGCTGGCTTCTTAGCTGCACTTGTGCCAGCCAGCCTCACTGCCACTCTGCCCTTCTGTTTGAAAGAGGTGGCCCATTACTTTTGTGACTTGGCACCACTAATGCGTTTGGCATGTGTGGACACAGACTGGCATGCTCGAGTCCATGGGGCAGTGATTGGTGTGGCCACCGGATGCAATTTTGCACTAATTTTGGGACTGTATGGAGGCATTTTGAAAGCTGTGCTGAAGCTACCCTCAGCTGCCAGTCGTGCCAAGGCTTTCTCCACCTGTTCCTCCCACATCATTGTGGTGGCACTATTCTATGTTTCTGCCTTTACAGTATATGTGGGCTCACCTGGGAGTCGACCTGATGGCATAGACAAGCTTATTGCCTTGGTCTATACTCTTCTTACTCCTTTTCTCAATCCCATAATCTATAGCCTTCGCAACAAGGAGGTGAAGGAGGCTGTGAGGAGGGTCTCTGGCAGGATCAGGACAAGTCTGGAGGAACCCAGATGATCTCATTTGTCATAACCCAGCTTCTTGACAACTGTGAGCATAAGCTGAGTGGTTAGTCAGTCATCTGGTCAAAGTCATAATAAAGACTAATAAGAGAATCAATAGAATCATTAGTCAAACATGCTGCACAGACCTATTTATTGATTGATCAGAGTAGGAATATTTAAAGAGAAAAGAGTTATGATGTCTGATTCCATTGCATTCTGATGGGGAAGAAATGTTACAAAGGAGGAAAAACAGGAACACAGAGCAAGGGTTTGGCTGAATTTATGACTTAGAGAGACAGTGCAATACTGAAGGATAGTAGACAATTTAAAGCTAAGAGTGGCAGCTTTATAACCTTGGATTTCTGGAGAAAGATTAACAAGGTGGAAAACAAGTTTGGCAAAAAGGAGACTAAAATTACAACATGTGTAAAGTTTCACATGTGGATCAGTGAGCCATTACAGAACACTTATCAGTTTGTGGAATCCGGTAATTCTGGGTTATCATGTGACTAAAGGTAGCTTGATGGAGAAAAGAACTATCATAGCAGGTGACTGGAAGCTAGGAATGATCATTTTTTCCCTTAAGGGAGAAGAGTAGGGTATTAGAGATAAGAGTGTTGTCTAAATTCTCTTCCAATATCATGGAATATACCTTTAAAAAATCTGGAGCTACATTAAACAAACAAACAAACAAAAACCCAAGTCTTACAAAGCACACATGCAAAGTAGGAAAGAGACTGACAAAGAAGTAGAGATCGAGTCCTGAAGCTCTGATCACATCCATCACCTCCTTTCTCCCCAGCTCTTCTACTGCTTCCTCTGCTGAGCAGTTTGAAAATTATTGGTTAAGTTTAACTTCATACTTTAATAACATGTGACTTGACGGCCAAATACCTGCAAGACAAAAGTCATGTGATTGGTGAGAAAAATAGGACAAAAACCTTTTCATGGACTAGGTACTGTACAGCTCTTGAATACCTTCTATTTTTCTTATTTGCTTGTATCTCACTACTAAAAAGTAAGTAAATTGGTTTTGTATATCTGCTCCACACCAGAAACAGTAACAGCTGCTTTCAAATATTTTTATTTAACTTTCATAATATCCTCCCAAGGAAAGAAGCATCCCAATATGCACATAATGAAATTAGAAAGATGATTGGACTTGCAGTGAAGAGACACAGATTCAGCCCCAAATTCACTGCAGCTGGCTGAGTGACCTTGGCAAGACTTCTTCAACCTCATTTTCTCTGACTGCAAAATGAGAGGCTGGCAGTGGATCACATTTCTTTCAGCTTAGGGAGTTTTGATTCTATGACTGTAACACTTCTTAAAGGAAGCATGACCTGAGCCAGGCCCAGTTCAGGTAAGATCTGAACATCCAGAGCAGAGAGGGAATGATGTTGGTCCAAATTTAAGTGTTGCCAATTTTTGCCTGTATGACCCTTGGCAAATAACATAAGCTCTCCCTGGCCTCAGATTTGTTTTACTTTAAAAAATACATCTACAACAAAGTATTCTAAAGTTAAATTAAATAACACAGTAAGTGGTCAATGAATTTATTAGTTTCATTATCTCCATTATCACAGAGACAGGACAGTACAGAAGTTAGAGCACGGACTTTGAAGGCTTTCTTCCTGTGTTCAGGCTTTAATTCTACCATTTACTTGCTGTATGACCAACTTTATGCAATATATTGAAATTCCATGTAGCTCAGTTCCCTTTTTATATAAAATGGGGAGAATAATAGAACCCTAAACAACATATAAACATTAGTCATTAGTACTTCAATGTTTTTCTGCATAAATTTCTTCAGTGGGAATTTTTTTTCTTAAGAATGTTTAGTGTTACACATATCTCACATTGTTATTACATGTTGGGTCACTAGACTTGGTAACATTCCAAATGAAACATCTTCTTTTGACATGTGTCCAAAATCATATTTGCATAACCTAAGGAGTATTCTCTGCTTTCCAGAAGTCTATGCTGCTTTTCTTAATGCAAGGTGCCAAACTCCGTTCTGTTGGCCTATTAATTCTATAACTTTGGGGATCCTGTCCTCTCTCTCCTTCTGTACCTCACTTTGCTCTTTTTGCTGGAATGGTTGTGGGCACAACAGAAACTTTTTCCCTGTGGTGGCAGTGCTAAAGAACGGCTCAGAACTGCTTCTCCTTAAAATGGCTTGTATCCCATTATTTAATAGCTCTCTGGAGCATCATAGTAATAATAATTACTAAAACAATTATTTGTATTAATTACTAATATCCATGGGGTCTATACTGTACAGTGAACATGTATGACAATCTTGTTGTGGAGACATAAGTAGTAAACTAACAACTCAAGGCAGCATATACCTCATTGCTGATTTCTACTACAATACTTGGTATTTAACCATGTTTGAAGAAATGAATGAAGGAATACACAAATTAACTCTTTTTTTTTTTTAGAAAGCAGGATTTATTGAGAGGAAGGAAAAGCTCCCACAGTGGGAAGGGACCTGAGGGGGTTGCCCTGAATGAACTCTTAAGAGTCAAATGAGGCTGTAATTCCGGCTACTCAGAAGGCTGAGGTGGAAGGATCGCCAGAGCCCAGCACGTGAGGCTGCGGTGGCCGGGAGCGGCCACTGCACTCCAGTCTGGGCGACAGAGTGAGACTCCAACTCAAAAAGAAAAAAAAAAAGAGTCAAATGAGTGTAATAGAGATTGAATATCTCTCCTATATTGTTATATACTATATAATAATTACTATATTGCCATACTATTACTATACTATAGAATATTACTATAACTCTTCCAGAAGGAAATCTCTTTCTTCAATCCATTTATAATGGTAAATTCTTTCCTTTCATTCTACAATCTTTCCTTCTCCTGAGGTTTCCTTAAGTCTTTCCCTTTAAAATATAAAGTTCAGGTCATCCTTAGCACAGAACTTCTCAACAGACATGAATAACTGGTGTGCTGAGTAGCTGAGTCCCCACTCCTACACACACCCTTTGAATGGTCAGATAGGTCCCAAGGGAATTGAAGTACCTGGACTAGTTGTTTTTGATCAGTAAGTCACCTTTATGTTCACCTCAGTGTGTGCTACAAATTGCCATCACTTTTAATAAGTACTATGCTATGAAAATAAAAGGTTAAGAAGCAGTACTTAGTGTGACATATTGGGGTACTTGCCCAATGTAAGGCCTAACTTTTGACCACTTCTCCCATGGTGATATCTGGACAGTGACTCTAGCAGCACAGAAGCTAAGTCTAAAAGGCATAATCATGCCGTTCATTCTGATTCAAGGCTAACATTCTATCACGTAGGGTGTTTATATAGTTTGTCATCCGAACTTGAGTACAAAAGCAAAAGGAGGTGTTCTCAATGTACCCTGGGGCATCAGATATAAACCGGAGTTGTGTTGGTCAAACAAGGACATATGACCATGAAATATCTACTTAAATAGTTTTCTTTGAAGTTTCTTTGTTTCAAAAGATAATGTTCATAAAGAGATCAAAGATAAAAGCAATCTAAAAGGATTTATATTAAAAAGTCTTGCTCCAAATCCCAAATATATCTGTCCCTTGTAGCTTCTCACCATACCCTGAAGATCACCTTTAATAGTTTTTCCAGTGTGGTCACAGTGTTTCTATACGCAAAATCCAGAAGACAGGAATATTTCATATCTGTTCTTGTGCATAAGGCCCCATATTATATGCTTTGTTCTATTTTCACTTTTTTAAATAAAAAATCTTGGAGATGTTTTTATATTTTTTTGGCAGAGTGCCATCTTATTTTTAAAAAGTAGTTCCATAGTATTTCTCTGTGTGCTTAAAATCGTCCTCTTTTAAAGCATTCTGCATTGTTTCCCGTCTTTGGCTATTTAAAAAAGAATTATAAGCCGGACCTGTAATCCAAGCATTTTGGGAGACTGAGGTGGGAAGATTGTTTTAGCGCAGGAGTTTTGAGACCAGCCTGGACAACATAGTGAGACTTCATCTCTACAAAAAAATCAAAAAATTAACCAGACATAGTGATGTGTGCCTCTAGTCCTAGCTACTTGGGAGGCTGAGAAGAAAGGATCTCTTGAGGCCAGAAGGTCAAGGCTGTGTTGAGTTATGATCATGACACTGGACTCTAGCCTGGGCTGCAAAGTGAGACCCAGACCCAAAAAATAAATAAATAAGTAAAAACAGAACTACAATAAATAACCTTGTATATAAATCAGTTTATATACACATATTTGCATATATATTTTTAGAATAGGATGTCTGGGTTATTTGTAATTTGGTCAAAATTCTTAAATTTCCCTCGAAAAGGATTATGCTCTTTAGTTCTCCCACCTACAATGGATTCATCTGTGTTTTCCCATAGCAATTTGGGAATATGAAATCTGAAAAATGATGCCTCCTTGTAGTTTTAGGCTCCAAATTTATCTATTGTGAGGTTGAAATATTTTCTTACATTTTAAATACTATTTTTTTAATTAGCTAATTCGAAGGTCAGTCTCCTCCTATTCTATTGTAAACATCTAAGGGAAGCTACAGTGTTTTATGCATCTCATTTTCCCCAGTTTCTAAAATAAGATCTGGAGCATTAAAAAATGTTTCCAAAAGGTAGTAAATGAGACCGGGCTCGGTGGCTCAGCCTGTAATCATGCGATTTGGGAGGCTGAGGTGAGTGGATTGCCTGAGCCCGTGGGTTCGAGACCCGCCTGGGCAACTTGGAGAGACCTCATCTCCATAATCAATCAAAAAATTAGCCAGCGTGATAGCACTTGCCCGTAGTTTCAGCTACTTGGAAGGTTGTGGCGGAAGAATGAGGTGGAAGGATCGCTGGAGCCCAGCAGGTCGAGGCTGCAGTGGGCAGGAGCGTGCCACTGCACCCCAGTCTGGGTGACAGAGTAAAACTCCAACTCAAAAAAAAAAAAAAGGTAGTAAATGAATTACTGTAATTTCATCTATTTTTTTTACATTAGTTTCACTTAATATCATATTTCCTAACCTTTAAATTGTGATTTTTTAAAACTTTTTT